AGTTTTCCAAATTTTCGAATTTTTTGATTTTTTAATTTTTCATTTCTCAAATTTGCATTGTTCGTTTTGGTTTTCTGTTTCCTCTATTTTTTCAATTTTTCGGTTTTTCAGTGTTCTGATTTTATAGTTTCCTTTCTTCACTGTCAAATGTTTTGAATTTTCAATTTTTCGATTTGCAATTTTTCGGTTTTCAAATTTTCGATTTTCAGTTTTTACAATTTTTAATTTGTCGTTTTTTCAATTTTAGATTTTAGTTCCTGAAATTTCCAATTCTTCAATTTTTGGATTTTTCAGTTTTTGATTTTCTAGTTTTCGTTTTAAATATATACAACAACAATAATAATTAGAATTTAAAAAATGTTTCACTTTTTCAATTATTGAACTGAAAACTTTTTATTTATTCGATTTTTCAATTTTTCGATTTTTAATTTTTCCGTTTTTAATTTTTCAATTTCTCGTTATTTAATTTTTAAAGGTTTCGATTTGCAATTTTTGTTTCGGTTTTTTATTTTCTTTATTTTTTCAATCATTCGATTTTTCAATGTTTTGTTTTGTAATTTTGGTGTTTTTAATTTTAATTTTTCCAATTTTTCGTTTATTTAAATTTTAGATTTTGCAATTCTTCGATTTAAAATTTTTCGAGTTTTTCAATTTTTCGATTCTTTAATTTTTTCATTTTTTTAAACTTTTGATTTGCGATTTTTCGTTTCGGGTTTTTTATTTTCTTTGTTTTTTCAATTTTTCGGTTTTCCAACGTTCTGATTTTATAATGTTTCTTTTTTCAATATAAATTTTTTTTAATTTTTGGATTTTTCAATTTTTATATCTGCAACTTTTAGATTTTTTAATTTTTCGTTGTTTCAATTTTAGACTTTTCAGTTTCATGTTTTATTATTTTTTCGGTTTGCAATTTTTCAGTTTTTCATTTTTTTTTTGACTCTTCAATTTTACTATATGCAACTTTTTGAATTTTAATTTTTAAAATTTTCAGTTTTACGCTTTTCGGATTGTAGCTTCACGAGTTTTCAATTTTTAGTTTTTCAATTCTTTGATTCTTTAATTTTTATTTCTTCAAATTACCAATTTTTCGTTTTGGTTTTCTGTTTTCTCTATTTTTTCAATTTTTCGGTTTATCAGTGTTTGATTTCCTAGTTTTCGTTTTAATTATGTACCTAATAATATATAATTATAATTTAAAAAAAAAATCACTTTCAATTTTATGATTTTAGAATGTTTCCATTTCTTTCAATGTTATATTATTTCGAGTATACAATCTTTGGGTTTTCCAGTTTTTCGATTCGATTCGTTTTTCTTCTTCTTCTTCTTTCTCAATTTTCAGTTTTTCAATGTTTTAATTTTTCGTTTCTTCAGTTCTTTGATTTGCAATTTTTCGTTTTTTCAGTTTTCGATTTTTCAACTTTTCGAATCAAAAAAATTGAAAAATTGAAAAATTCTAAAACTGAAAAATCAAAAAAATGTAAAATAAAAACTTTCTAAGATGTAAAAATTTTGAAATCAAGAACTTGATGAGGAAAGGAAAAATTGAAAATTGAGAAATTGAAAAATCGAAAAATGAAAAATTGGAAATCGAGAAAAACTCTGAAGTCGAAACATTGAAAAATGGAAAAATTGAAAAATGAAAAAAATGAAAACACGAAAAAAGGTGATATCAAAAAATTATCAAGTCGAAAGTAAATAAATCCAGATTTTTCTAAAAATTACAGGATTTGATTTTGCAAATTTTATTTTTGTATGATAACCCTTATAAGTTAAAATAAAGATATGAGTGTAATCTTAAAGTAAATGTAAAGGAGCATGCTACGTGTCTGTTTCAAGTGAGTTTTCTTAATACAGAATTTTGTGTCATCGTCATCAACTTTTTAGCAAGGACACTTATCAATTTAGATAGATGCAGTATAATACTAATAATAACACTACTGCATTCCGTAATTTTCGGGAAAATGGAGTGAGTCGTTCTTGATTTAATCAATACAATAAACCGCCTCATTCATACAGGCATAATATTATGCATATATGAATAAATTTTGATTGACGATTTAACATGGTTATGATAATCTTAAAACATGGATTCATACATCACAAGTGCAGAGGTATCTTATTTTATAAAATTAAAAAAATATATTATTGTAAATATTGGGGTTGACGTCATCCTTTTGGTGGTGGGGATGCTTAGCCAAGTTTTGGTTAGCATTTTACTAATATACATACAAAATTTGACAACAATCGGTCCAGTAGTTTCGGAAATTACTTGTCTAGTAAAAGCGGATACAGACACCAGACAGACAGACGGAAACGGGAGAGCATTTTTTTCGTACTCTAGAGATCACGAAACATCGAGAAAACATGAAAGTAGCAAGTCGCCCGATGGACTGGGTTACTATACTTTCTTAGCTTACAATATTTTATGACAATAATCAATAATGCGAATAGATAAAATTTATCAATCTAGTTCCCTTGATCTAGAAGCATCATTTCGCATACTACTCGCGTGTCGTACACCGTGTTAACCAGTGCATTTTTTTTCCTAAAGTAACCTACCCACCTATCAAAAGAATTCCGGCGGCGCCTCGAAAAAACCCGTGTAAAGCACAATACGAAATTCCGGATTAGCATATTTTCGCAGGTAGGTGAAGCCTCCTATTCCCCCGTCTCGACTAGTTCTTTTCCTGAATCGCTCAGGTAAAAAATATTCCCATCTTCAGCATTTCGAGGCAGCCATAAATTTACATGGTTAATGAAGACTTCTTCATCCTTTGTGACGCACTTTCCTGGATCCGAACAAAAACCGCTCACCACCGACGTCGATTTTTCCGGTTAATATCTTAATAACGAAGAAATGGTATCGCGGAGCGCTCGAGGTGCAGTGCAAAGAAGTTAAAAAGCGTGCGAACGTACGTAATGGTTCTATAATGCTGAATTAATAACGACGTACGTAGTGTATTCGAGTTAATGATGAGGTAACGCGTTGCTCTATTCTGCCAGTTTCCTCTGCCATCTTTACCCCATGCTGGGGCAAAGTCACCTTGCGCAGCGGCGGTCGGGCGCACTTTTTACCCGCTAAGAATTCGTGTGATTCAACGTCATTGAGGAAAACTGAAAATAATAGGAGTCCAGATTAGATCCCTGCCACACCCCTGATATTGTAAATCGTTTTTGATCAATCAGAATGGATCTAAAGTAGGTATACACTACGCTGTCGCATAGTCCGAAAGAACAAATTAAAAGCAATAGTGTCTGAAGGGTATTTTATCAACAAACATAAATAAACAAAGTGTTTAAAAAATAATAAGTATTTTTTTCTTGTCGAGCCGCCGCTGGGCTTGATGCTGCACATTTTGGTATTAGGGAGCGCTTAGACGAGGCGAGGGACGTGACGCGACGACATAATACTCAATATTCAAAACATTTATAGATTTTTGTGTTGACGCTATAAATCCCTACGTGTTCGCTTCTTTCGTTGGCATAATTCAGTGATTCTCGTTAAACGGCATTCAAATTTTATGGGGCCGTATATTCGTGGAGCTAGTAATGAATGTCGGAGTGAGACAAAGGTTAGCGTAATTTATGCAGTGCTTACAATCATTGTTTGCAATTCGCGCTTATAATAAACGATCTAGTTAACTGTTCGCAGCGTAAACTTTCAATTGTTTATAGGCGGTGCACAGGCCCGATTTCAATTATTTTCAGGATTAATTGGTACGAGGAATAAGCCGGGCCTTATTTACGGTGTGGATCGGAGATACATTAACGTAACGGTTAATTTGGTTGCCAGGACACGGCATTTGCTACTATTGTTTTGAAATTTACGCTCGAAGTTGCCAAAACCGAGAAAATCAGATATCATTTCTTGGTAAAGTTGGACTTTTCCTGTTTGTCGATTGTCCTGCCAGGATATTAAATAATGACTTAAAACTTTTTATGATAAATTATTATTACTTGTCCCCTGTTACAAATGTCAATCAGAACCAGAATTTCGATGTTTGCTGCCTAGTATATAGGCAACCAATAGTTCAGTTTGAATGATGGATTTGCTACTTACCTAAAGGACCAATTTGATGTACGATTTTTATAATCACCTTGTATAGTACAATAATTGACAATAGAAAAATCTCTGTAAGTGAAGGTGCCATCATTAAAAAAAATGTTCTCAAATTATTTAGACGAAACAATTATTTTACTAAATTCTACTAAGGTGGTTTAAACAAATATTTATCTGTTTATTGTGCTGTCCAAGCCCTCATAATCACGTCATAAAAATTTAATGGATACAAAAATACCGTTCTGAATATATTTAGACTGAAACATATTAAAAAAAAAATCGTCTGTGACACGAGACATTGTAATTTTAAAATTTACAGACTTTTACATTAGAAGGATTTTTTTGTGAGTGTTGTTTTCGTTGTTAATTTTTTAACTTGTGTTTTTCGTCGAAAATCAGAATAAAATCTGTGCGGCTACAAGAAATATAAACAGAAACAATTGCCCTACAATTGCTTGTCTCGTTCCTAGCGCGGCGTTCCAAAAAATAATGATGGTTCTATCAAGACCCCGACCCCGTTATCTTTGCACTTGTCCCCGGAATAACCCATCGTATCGTTTCCGGGCATCCGCGTACTCGCCTGTGTAATTTAGTAGCGCGCGGTGCGCGTGTATCCTCTCCCCTCCCCATCCGATGTCAATTGAAAAAGCGAAACCCATAACTTATCGAAAATGATCGAAAACCAACATCCATTTATTTCCTTCGAGATTGTGCGTTAGATACCCATCCGAAACGAAAACCGGAAAAAAAATCCCACAGACAATAGATTTACGAGCCAAACTCGGTCCAACTGACATACTCATAAATATTGTTTATGTTTAGGTCGGATATCTGAAGTACAGGTGAGTTGGCAACACCGACAGGTTCCCTACCATTGGCCGTGGTCCACAACTCCTCCCAAGCCAGCGCTCAGTCGAGCTTCGCGCGCGGTGTCGTTCGTACCGATCGTTCCTTGCCGCCTTCCGGAACGCCGAGCGCTGCAAAGTACCGCCGCGACGCCGCACCCCGGAAACCCGGAATCTGCGAGGTTCGTCGCCTGCCGCAGCGTTTCAGTCACCGCGCCGAAGTGCGCGCCGCAGTGTTCGCCGCCGCAGTGCAGTGCCGCCGCGCCGCCCCCGCCCGGCGCCCGTGCAGTGAGTGCGTCCCGGCGCCGTCCGCGTCGCCTGCCCGATTTCGTCCAGGCGAATCCCCGTTGATCTCGTCTGCGCCGGCCATATTGCATACCAGCCCGAGCGAGAGGCCGCCATCTGAGCGCAGCGCGCTGAAGAAGGAGCGCCGGAGTGTCTTGAGGCCGGTGAACAAGTTCGTGCACGCGGGGCGAGAGGCTGAGGAATGTTAGAGCACCGCAGCATCTAACAGACACACGTGTCGGCCGCGCTCTCAAACGGAGCCGAAATGCTGCACTAGTCCGGGACGACGAACCGGACGAACAATTGGCGATGGTGCGATAGTGACGATCACTAGTGACATGTGGCACAGCTGGCTCTTGCTCGTCGGGTGGTTGTGGGTCGCGGGCGCCCAGCCAGGGCCCGGGCCCGGAGACTACTCGGCGCAGATGCAGTCCAGGGCGGTGGACACGAGGGTCACCCTGGAGATCAAGGAGAGTCAGCCGAAGGGCACCGTGGTGGGCCGGATCCCGATCAAGCCGGGCTTCACCTACCGGTTCAACGAGGCCCCGAGGGAGTTCACCATGGACCCGAGAAGCGGCGAAATCCGAACCAACGCCGTTCTGGACAGAGAAATTTTGAACAACGACAGGTACGACCTAGTGGTACTATCGAGCCAGCCCACCTACCCCATCGAAGTGAGGATACTGGTCATCGACATCAACGACAACCCCCCGGAGTTCCCGGAACCGTCAATCGCCGTTTCCTTTTCTGAAAGCGCCGCCGCCGGAACGCGTCTCTTACTTGACGCCGCCTCCGACAGAGACATCGGCATCAACGGCGTCTCCGACGACTACCACATAATCGCCGGGAACAACGACGACAAATTCAAACTCGTCCTCACCGCCAACCCCAGCGGAGAAACCTCTTACTTACACCTAGAAACCACAGGCAAGCTCGACAGGGAGACCCAGGGTGTGTATTACTTGAACATTTCGGCCCGCGATGGCGGTACTCCTCCCAAATTCGGCTACCTTCAAGTAAACGTGACCATTCTCGACGTTAATGACAACCCTCCGATCTTCGACCACAGTGATTACATTGTGTCATTGAACGAAAGTGTTCCTCCCGGCACTCCGGTACTACAAGTGATGGCCACAGATAACGATCTCGGTGATAACGCAAAAATAACGTACTATCTCGCGGATACAGAAAGGCAGTTTACTGTTGACCCAGAAACCGGAGTGATTTCAACCACAGAAACGCTCGAATGCCCTCAACACAACTGTCCGCAAACCACCAAATCTTGCTCGAAGAGTTGTGTGTTTACAGTTTTCGCACGAGACCACGGGTCGCCGCGCCAAGATGGTCGTACTTACGTTACCGTGAACCTGGTGGACGCCAACGACCACGATCCCGTCATCAAGTTCCAGTATTTCCCGTTTAACGCACCTTTTGCCACCGTCGACGAGAACGCGGGCAACGGTTCTGTGGTGGCTGCGGTCTCAGTTGTTGATCTAGATGAAGGGTTGAACGGCGAAACCACAGTTCGGATTGTTTCCGGGAATGAATTGAGCCATTTTCGACTGGATTATACACCGAGTTTTGATATAGTGAGAGTTAACGGTGTGTTGGACCGCGAAGAGATAAGCAAGTACAACCTCACCGTAGTAGCTACAGATAAAGGTACTCCTCCACGTACTGCCACCGCTTTTTTGATAATACACGTGAATGACGTCAACGACCACGAGCCTGTGTTCGAGAAGAGCGAATATTCGGCGATTTTGAGCGAACTGGCACCACCCGGAACGTACGTTGCGGGGATTACGGCGACGGATGAGGACACCGGAGTCAACGCCCAAATTTACTACGCTTTCGTTTCCGGAAACGAACATCAGTGGTTCGCTATTAATTCCGACTCCGGACTGATAACGACACGCGAGGTTTTGGACCGGGAAGTGCAGGGTACCGTCGAATTGAACATCTCGGCGAGAGACGGAGGACCGAATCCGAAGTGGGCTTACACTCAGTTGAAAGTGACGATTTTAGACGAGAATGACGAGGCGCCGGAGTTTTCGCAATCCAAGTTTAATGTGAGTTTGTCCGAGAATGTGCCTCCGGGTACTTTAGTGGCGATGTTGACGGCCGCTGATCATGATCAAGGTACTAACGGAAGTGTTGCTTATTCTCTGCATCCAATGACACAGCAGCGGTACGACAACACTTTCGCTCTGGATTCTTTAACGGGACAATTAACGACACGGAAAAAATTGGATCGTGAAGAAATCAGTCACTATGAAATACATGTCGTTGCTAAAGATCAAGGATTACCGCCGCAATCGTCGACTGCTACCGTTTACTTGAACGTCCTCGACATCAACGACAACAGCCCGGAGTTCTACCCCCAGAAGTACTTTCTTGCGGTGTCGGAGACCGTCAAGACTGGTAGCTCCCTTTTGAAGGTGACGGTCACCGATCGAGACGAGGGTGAAAATGCTATGATCACCTACAAGCTAGAAAACGGAGGCGACGGTTTGTTTACTATCGACGAATGGACTGGAGTTGTCTCCTTGCGTGGTTCTTTGAAGTCGTCGTCGAAGCCCATCCACAAACTCAAAATCTCCGCTAAAGACCACGGCGACAAGCGAGCGTCTGAAGACGCCACTGTTGAAATAATCAGAGAACGCGACCTGGAGGAACTCCACTTTGACAACTACGGCAGCTACGAGTTCAAAATCGTCGAAGACGACACCGAGTGGAAACGTCGCGATGTTGGCCAAGTTCGCGTGCGCAACCCCGACGCGGTTTACTCCATCGTCTTCGGCGACCCCAAGCACAACTTCCACATCGACGAGCACACGGGGAAGATCACCACGGCGAAGAAGATCGACCGCGAGCAGACTCTGATGTACAGTTTGACAATCAGTGCGCGCGTGGGCTTGGCGTACGGTAAAACTCTTGTCAACATCGTGGTCTTAGACTTGAATGACAATAAACCCGTCTTCTTGCGCGATAAGGACGAAGTGAAGCTCGCTGAAAACGCTGCTGTCGGACAAGAAGTGTATCTCGCGCGTGCTAGAGATCTCGATGCCGGTATAAACAGCCGAGTGACATATAACCTGAATTACAATCCGGACGATCAATTCAGGATTTCCGAAGCCACGGGAGTGATTTATTTGAACAGGCCGATAAGGGCAGAGCCCGGGGCCGTGTTGCATGTGGAAGTGACAGCGACGGACGGTGGCGAGCCGCCTTTATCTTCGAAACATTCGGTCGCGATAGTGGTGGAGGATGTTAACGACCACACTCCGGTTTTCGACCACACTTCGTACGAGACGTCCTTGCTGGAGTCGACGCCCGTCAACGAGAGGTTCTTCGCGCTGGCGGCGAGCGACGCCGACTTGGGGGCGAACGGGCGGATTTCCTACGCCATCAGTGAAGGCAACGCCGAAGGAAAATTCGGGGTGTTTCCGGACGGGTTCCTGTACGTCCGACAGAATTTAGACCGGGAAGACAAGGATTACTATTCGCTTTCCGTGACGGCGAGCGACTCCGGGAACCCGTCTCGCTCGTCGGTGGTGCCCGTCGTCATCCACGTCATCGACGAGAACGACAACAGTCCTGAATTCACCAATTCCACCTTCACCTTCAGCATTCGCGAGAACGAACCTCCGGATTCTTTCGTGGGAAAATTAACAGCGACGGATCACGACATCGGGCGTAACGCAGAACTCATCTTCTCTCTATCCAACTCGCAGAGCGACTTCGCCATCGACCCGAAGAACGGTTTCATCAAGACCCTTCATGTTTTCGATCGTGAGGAGCTGGTTCAGAACACCGGCCAGAATTATCTGACTCTGGAAGCGGCCGTTACAGACAACGGGAATCCTCGATTGCGCGATAAAGTCAAAGTTAATGTTCACGTGACGGACGTGAACGACAACCCCCCGAAATTTCTTCGGACGCCGTACAAGGTTCAAGTGTCGGAAGGTTCAGCGGCGGGCACTCAGGTCATCAGATTGTACACGTCGGATGCCGATGAAGGGCTCAACGGTGACGTGTTTTACTCGATCGTGAAGGGGAACGAGGACGGGAGGTTCGCCGTGGAGGAAGCGACGGGGCAGATTATGTTGGCGAGGTCCTTGGACAGGGAGACTATTTCGAGGTATAGTTTGACCGTGGTGGCGCGTGACGCGGGGTTGTCGAAGCAGCTGAGTTCGACGACTACGGTGGTCGTGGAGGTGCTGGACGAGAACGACAACGCGCCGGAATTTACGCAGACGGACTCGAAAATTAGCGTGATCGAGACGAGTCCGGTGAACACGGAGCTGGTTCAGTTCAGGGCGAGTGATGCGGACTTGGGGGTGAACAGTGAGGTGGTGTTTTCGATAAGTGCGGGGAACAGGAAGGACACGTTTCACGTTGACGCTTCGACTGGGATGTTGTATTTGCATAAACCGTTAGATTACGAGGAGTTGAGTGCTTATCAGTTGAACATAACAGCGTCGGATAATGGGAATCCGAGATTATCAACGACAATTTTGTTCGGTATTGCTGTCGAAGATGCGAACGATAATCCGCCTTCGTTTCCTAGCACGGCGATAGTCCGCCAGATCCGCGAAGGCATTTCTGTACACACCCCCATAGTCACGGTTACGGCTGATGACCCCGACTATGGAATTAATGGCAAAGTGACTTACGCCATATCGCAGCAAGAGCCGGAAGACGGCAACAGACACTTCGAGATTAATCCGGTTACAGGGGTCATCCACACTCTCTTGCCTATCGACAGGGAAACTATTGACACCTTCCGGCTGACGGTTGTAGCGACGGACCAAGCCCAACCCGCCTCGTCTAGACTGTCGGCGAACAAGCTCGTCACAGTCATCGTCGAGGACGTCAACGACAACGCGCCCGTGTTCGTCTCGATGAACTCGGCGATCCTCCCCCAGCCCTCTAGTTTCCCCAAAGAAGGCGCCTTGATCATGAACGTCTTCGCCAGGGACCTGGACTCCGCCACAAACGGGCTCGTCACCTACGAACTCGCCAGCGGCAACTCGGAGCTGTTCCGCTTGGATCAGAGCACCGGGGCGTTGCGCTTACGCAAGTCCATCTTCAACCCGGAACCCACGTACCGGCTCTCCGTCAAAGCCACCGACGAAGCCGTCCAGAATGAGCGGAAAAGCAGCGAGGCCTACCTCACCATCATCGCGAGCAATTCCCTCGAGAAAGGCCCGGAATTCGAGAGCGACTTCTTCACTGGCAGCGTTTACGAGAACGAACCTCCGGGTACGAGCATCCTAACGGTTTCTGCGAACTTCGACTCCGGTGAAGTGGAATATTACGTGACGAACGTGACTGGTGACGGTGCTCAAGTTGACAGATTGTTCGACATCGACACCAAACTGGGAGTCGTTTCGACGGCCACTCAACTCGACAGGGAGCAAGGAGTTGACGTGTACGAGGTCGAGGTTTACGCAATCGTCGCCGGAGGATCGCCGAAAACCACCAGGACCAAGGTGAGTCTCGTTAAGGCGATTTATTTTTATTGGCTGTGTGCTAACGGCCAAAGCTGAACTATAAAATATTCAAGCGCGATTATTTATAATACCCGGTCGAGGTACTAATCCTCTCATTAAACGGCGACGATCACCACACAATCGTAATGACATAATCGAAATTATGCAGAGAGCAGTCGCGCTTTGCTAAAGAGAAAACCGGATCGATGGGAGCATTTTTGCGGAAAATTATGCAAACAAGTCGTGGAGCGGCGTCATTACGCAGGTGACGGTTTTCGACTTTTCACCAGAGTTTGTTTCTAATTAGCGCGATCTGACCCGAGAACGAGTGAAATCCTGGAGCAATAAAACATCGAAACTGAGCAACAAAGGTGTGTTAACTACCTCCGTTTATTTTATCACTTTCGAAGTAATAACCGGAACGTTAATTCTTGCAATCTTTACAGCTCACATTCTAAACCCATAAAACTTATGTATTTAGGGTAGGAATTTAAAAACGTCGCCAGTTTGTTTTCGTTTGTTTATTAAAAATAAAACTGTCACTAGATACGTTCGCGCGATGGAATGCGCTGAAAAGTGACACCGGTCATAAATAAAATTAAATTGATTGCGTGCTACAAGAAGATCAATAATTAGAAATTTTGCAAGCGTAGGTTATTAACCAATCAAGTCGAACCGTCCTCTATAGGCATTCGCAGCAAAAGGAAATGTCCCACATGTTGCTACTTAATTAACACTAATTAGAACCTTGTCGATGCATTAGCGTTTGACAAGAACAAAGATAACAAAGTACATAATCTCGTGTCTGTTTTGACAAATTTGTGCCGAAATACTCTAAGTATGATCTCACGAATTTACAAAGGATGTCTTTTTTGCGGCTCGAGGTGTTAATTGCTCCAAATTTGCTGTTAATGAGGAAGATATGCTGATGTCCGATATTTAAACATGTGCTTGAATGTAGCGAATTTCCGGGATTTAATAGCACCAGTAGAAAGAAACAAATCATGAGAATACCTTGGCCCAAAATTAGATAATTATTATGTCGAATACCAACCACAACCAGACTTAAAGCGCAAAATTGTTGAACGAATACAAAAAAAAAACAAGGAAGAGAAAAATTAACGAATTAACACCGATTTGATGTAAACTATTTAAGAACAAGAGGGTAAACACCTTTATTGGATTCGTATATACAGTGCGGTTTTAAAATCAGTTTCCCCTTTCGAACTTTATAGCCAAAATTGAGTACAAAAACACAGGTTTTCCGTTTCCGTCTGTCTGTCTGTCTGCCTGCCGTTTGTCCTGATTTTTATTAGACCGATAATCTCCGAAAGTTGTGAAATTTTGTATGTATATTAGGAATTTCATGTAGATGGTGAAACGCTAACCAAAATTTGTCTAATCATCACCACCTACAATGTGATGACGTCACCTCAAAATTGTGCACAACAAATGGGTTTCAAATTGTATAAAATAATATACTTTGGAAAAAAAATTAACTTTATATTTAGCTTTATCGTTGATAATAATTGATGTTGTTGTAATATTCGTTGGACATGTTTGGTGTTACGAAGAAATATCTTCCGGCTAAAATCGTTTATGGTTCCATCGCTTGTTCAGTTCTCATTTTTTATTCTGTTTGAGAATCTTTGTTGTGTTGTTGGTTCGAAAACTCATCATGCATGCATGTTTATCTAAATTATCTCGATTATATTCAATAAACAGAAAAAACATCGAAAAAAATTGAGTGAAATTTGGCCGCAATGTCGATGGCGCTACGTCGCCTTACGCAATAACTTTTTCACAATAGTATTAGTCAACATTTCCTCTACAAATCAATAATTATCCCAAATATTATCAACTTTCTCGTCTAATTAACCTACATCGCCATCGTCGACCAAAACTGTCATTCCAGCCATCTTCCGTCCGTGCTTTCTAAATTACACAGTCGATTTGCTCCTCATCTTTTGAGGCAACGGGATTATGCACGGCTCTTGGCTTTATGTATTTGTAGTTAAACACAAGGAACGAGTTTATAAATTTATCATTATTTACATTTCCTTCGCGGCTTCCAATTAACTTTTTTTCGTCCATCGTCTCGACGATCTCCCGAATAATAAAATAAGCAGGGCCGTTGCTCCTCGGCCAATCATTTCGATGCACAATAGACGTCTTATTATCAAATTATTTACACTGTTCGACTTCGGCCATAATGAACGCTGGGAATTTTTCCAGAGGCGGCGCGTCCCGATGGACACGCGATCGCATTGACGATTAATTAGGAGATTCGTAGTGCAGAAACTGGTTGGTGTCAATTTTGACGAGTGAATTCAACATGCGCATTAATAAAGTCTCATAGTTAAAAGTTAATTAAGATAACCGGCAGATGGAGAGCTTCCAGAGGCGGCGCGGCGGACCAGCGGCGCAGCACGAATTCGCCTCCAATCGAAAATGGGAGATCTCGAGACCTGAACTCGCCTTCTCGTCATCTCTCATTAACGCAAAGCTATTACCTCTCCACTTAGTTATCTGCGATACGCCGATACTCTAGCCATGTTTCTACTCTTATGTACCAAATTAAACTTATTTATGCCACAAGATGACAATTTATGGCCAACATTGATTTATGGTTTCATGCAATTTTTTAATAAATTTGTATTCAAAATTCTTATCTTTGTTTACATTTCCAAATCTCATAATCCTGTTATATTGTTACATTAATATTTATAACAATATTTATTAATATTGAAATGTTATCACGCATATAACGATAATAGGGTACAAAAAAAATCAATTGATCCAAATTTAAATTTTTAAATAACGCAAAATATTGATTTTATATTGATGCAGTTTTTTATTATTTCTTTTATAAATTCATTTAAAAGCATAAATATCTAAGTTGCTAAAAACACGATATTGAAAATGAGTGAGGATACTGAGGGTAAAAAATCAAGGTAGATTCATAAACCACAAGTATAGGAGTATATTATTTTATAAAATTTAAATGGCACTTAGTAAAAAAATTGTTGGTTTTGTGGTTTTGGAGATTATCTGTCTAATAAAAATCGACACAGATAAACGAGAGACGGAAATGGGAGATCTACTTTTTTCGTAGTTTTATGTTTAGCTAATCCATTAACCAGAACTGTAGAGTTATTGTACAACTGTCAAGATCAGAATTAATGAAACGTCAGGTTTTGCAAATAAACGAGCTGTATGTAGATAACAGATGATTTTAATCCAGATTAATTATGTGTATGTTACATAAAAAATCTTTTCTGTGTGTAACGATATGAATATAAATATAAATATGTTCACGAAAAGGAAACAAATTTCAAATATTTTCAAATTGGTGCAAGGATGCCTCGATTTCAACCTCTCTCGATCCCACGATCTGACTCATACCTCTGCACCCCAAAACTCGGCGCCCCGCCCGCCCGCCCGTCCGCTCCGCTCGATTTGATTTCTCGGTAAACTCGGTTCGGATTTATTATATGCAAATTCGCGTGGCCGTCCTGGCAATGGCTGCCATAAATTTCCATCAGTGTCGGTGGAGGTTCGCAGGGGGTCGTCCTCGGACGCGAGTCCCATTAGTTGTGGATTTTATTCGCGATGGCCACAATTACCCTTCCCGCCGAGACACCGTGATGGGCGAATTAACCGCCTGAAAAATTGCCACAATGGCAAAAATTAATTACGATTCCTAGATCCGAGCCGAGCGAGGATCGAATAATCGTTATTGCCGTTTCCGACTCGAGCTTGTACTCGGCTTGTCGACGGGGAATGCGGACTAATGCGCTTTCGCTGTCCTGCTATCTCTTGATACAGATATCGAGCCATCTAGTTATGCAGAGTTATAGGCTCCGCGAATCGAGCGGGCTTTGACGGAGGTGCATAACCTCAACTGTCAAAGCTGTCAATCGCGGCCGGGTTTACACTAGGACATAACCTCAACGGAGCACAATAGGAAACGAGATAACACGAATAAGCAACACTGACAAGGAAGGTAGCAATCTTGGCTGCGTTCTCGATTCGCGTAAGGCGGTGTCTTTGCGTTCCGTTTTTGCTCTTATTGTCCGCTAGGTGTCGCTCGACGCGTTTCCCGGAAAACCGCCGCTCCGCCGTCAGCCGAATTAATCCTCGCTTTAATTGGCCCGATGGAATGCAAAAAGAATCGAAGATCGGTCCGGTATTATTATTCAGAAACGGAAGATTGTCACTCCGATATATATGCGCGAGCGATTAACGAAGTGAGCGGCGCCTTTGAGCGATGCGAGTGCCGTCTGCCGTCCAACGACGGCAATTTCAAGTGTGCCGTGTGGCTTTATAATAAGCAATAACTTAGGGAGATTTTTGTATGTGTCGTGTTGTTTTGGCGTACCGTAAGTTATGGGACAGATTTATACGCGCGGTTTTCATTCCGGGATGACAAATGGCGTTTTGTACGCTACGGTCTGGAATGGAGTAGTGTAGCGCCTACTGTGCGACACACTAGACGGGACGGATTTTATTGCGACGGGCGCTAAGAAATGGGACGATTGCGGTAGGCTGCACAGGTGCTCGCGGAAAAAGCGAAACAGGTGAATGGGCAGCGTTTAACGCACGGAAAGCTTTTTTCGGTGGATCCCGGGTTTCGAACTTGCCACGAGGCGCAGTGAGGAAAGGTAAATTTTCAGAGAAAAAAATCGAATACGGTAATGTTTCGTCGTAGGTGGTCTTGAAACCTTTGCGTTACCTCTCAAATGATCCTTACAGCGTTCACAGTTTTTAGAACTTGTACTGAGGGATATTTATTTCCATATGCAAGAACTCTTTCGATAGAATTGTTGAGTTTGATTTAAAGTTGATCGTGCAGAACAGTTTCATTAACTTCTGTGGTCGTCGAGGTTGGAGGTTAGATGCAAGGTGGTGTCACATAACGCAAGTTGGTGTTAGTTTTATTTTTAATCGCCGCTTGAAATAATTTTAGGCTATAGTTTTTTCGCCGTAAAATACGCAAA